CTTAGTATAAAGCTAATACTTTACTTTACTTACTATTTCTTTAAAGGGATAATAAAAACTTAGTAGACTATTCTCCTTTAACTTTCTCTAGAGTATAACCTTTTACCTCTTTATAAGTAGTCCTAATAACCTTTTTATTCTACTATATAGTAGTTTAATAGTGCTTTTAACCTTATTTAATAAGTTATTAAGACTAATTAATAGCTAATAATAGTACTCCTTTAATAATAAGAGTATATTTATTAATAGTAAGAATAATAAGGTCTTTAAGCTAATTTACTACCTTATTTACTACCTTAATAATAACTTTCCTCTTAAAGTAAAGCCTTTTTCTAAACTATAGCCTCTTACTATACCTAAAGTAATAGATCCTCTTCTCCTCTTATAAGTAAAATCCTAAATTTACTAATTCTTAGTAATCTAGAATAAACCTTTAATACCCTTTTTAATTAAGTTAATACTTTTATAAAGGCTAATAATTTAGTATTATAAAGTAGTATAAATATTAGTACTATAGCTAAGTTATATAATATACTATCTAATATAATTAGTTTAGTAAGCCTAGGCCTATAGAGGTACTAGTATTTAATAGCGTAAGTCCTAAAAGAATAGCTATAAATAGTAGGTAATTATAAAAGCTTTTTAAGAGGGGTAATAGCTATTATATTATTATTTAGACTTTAGTATAGTTAGTATAACTATAGTCTTAGCCTTAGGGTATCTATATATCTTTTTATTATAAGGTAACTTAGCCTATAATAAATACTATTAATATAATAAGCTAATAAGTTAGTATTTAGGTATATAATATATATACTATTATTTAAGAGTAGTTCCTAGATTCTTTATTTACTTAGTAAATATTTATAATACTAAAGCTTATATAAACTAAGAGAAGCTAATAAGTATTTACCTACTATAGCTTTACTTAAGCTATTTAATAAGTAAAATATCCTATATATAGTAAAGTAAGCAAAAGATAAGCTAGACTAACTTATTAGCCTTGTCTAGACTTTTCTTTACTATCTCTAAATATAGAAGTAATTCCCTAAAGTAATTAGTTTTAATAACACCTATAACACTAATTACTTTAAACTTTTACTTTTTAGGCTACTAGATAGACCTACCTTAGGTTTATTTATAATACTATATTTAGCCTTATTAATAATAAAAGGCTAAAAGGTTTTTAGTTTTTCTTAGTAAGTATCTACTAACTTATAGACTAACACTTAGTTATTACTTTACTATTATTATTATAAACTATAATAAATAAATAAAGGCTATACTAAATAAGTAGTTCTTTAGTTTAGTAATAACTTTATATCTACTATATTAATTTAATATTATACTTAAGGCTAAGTAAAAGTAGCTTAAGGACTATATTATAATAAGTAATAGTAGTAAGTCTAATAATAAGGTCTATTAGCTAATAATATAAGTAATAGCTTAGCTTAGTAATAAGGACTAGGCTATATTACTACACTAGTAATAAGCCTCCCTTATATATATTATAAGTCCTAATAATATAGAAGCTTATTATTTTTACTAAGACTAAGTATACCTTTAAGAAAGCTTAGACTAAGCTTATAAAGAGTTTATTAACTAACGCCTAATCCTCTAGTACCTATATATAATATACTTACCCTTAAAGGTATATAGGCTTACTACTTTATCTAAAAATACTAGAACTTTAGTATTTATATTACTCTAGTATAAAGTTAAGTAATAATAATATTAAAGGCTATTTTCTAAATAGTCTTAGTTACTTATATTAACTTATTAATATTATATAAATATAATTAGTAACTAGGAGTTATACTTTAGATAAGCTTATACTAAGGATAAAGTCCTTAGAAACTAGAAGTATATAGGTACTTACTTTAAGCTCTTTAGTAAACTTTAGATAATACTTTCCTTAAAATATTTAGTCTAATTAAAAAGTAATACTAGCTAGTAAAAAAGGTAATACCTTTTAGTAAAAGACTATTCTTAGCCTTTATTAGAGAATATAGTCTAAACTATACTGTTTTAACTAAGCTTAGTATCTTTTATTACTATAAGATCTTTATAAAGATACTTAATTTATAATATTTAGTAAGTAAGAGGTATACTCCTAGTAGTATCTTTAAAAAATATCTTCTTTTAATCTATACTACTAGATCCTTAATTTAAAGATTATAGTATCTTTTTATAGTAGGCTAAAGAATATAGTATAGCTTATCTTATTATAACTAGCTTTACTTAGAGAAGGCTACTTAACTAAATAAACCTATACCTTTAGTATAAGCTAAAGTATAAGTAGTAAAAAGTAAGGTTACTTATCTAAAAGTAAAAATAAGTTAATAGTAGCTAGGTCTATATAAAAGAAAAGTTAACTAAGTTAAAGCTAGATTTTAACCTTATTTTAGTAATAAATAAAAAGCTAGTCTAGTGTTCTTAGTAGTAGAAAAATAATAAGAAATTATATAAGTAAATAGCTACTTTAGCCTAGTGTTTAAAGGATATAGAGTTAGTAAAAAATAGTTAGTAGTAATAATAAATCCTTATAGCTATATTATAAAAAAGTAGCTAGGTAGTAAGTATTTTAAATATAAAAAAGGTTACCTTTCTTAAGGTAAATAGAAAATAGGCCTAGCAAGAGGGCTAACCTTTATAGCTATAGGAAGTAAGCTTAATAGGGGGGTTATTTTTATAGCTATAGGAAATAGGCCTAGTAAAAGGGGTAACCTTTATAGCTATAGGAAGTAGGCCTAGTAAAAGGGCTAACCTTTATAGCTATAAGAAGTAGGCTTAATAAGGGGGCTTTTTTTATAGCTATAAAGTAGGCTTAATAAGGGGGCTTTTTTTATAGCTATAAAGTAGGCTTAATAAGGGGGCTTTTTTTATAGCTATAAAGAGGGCCTTTCTTATAGAGTCTATTTCTTATAGCTATAAAAAGACCCCCTTATAAAGCCTATTTTCTATAACTATATAGGTTAATTAGTTAATAGTAGAATAGAATAGTAAAAGAGCTATATTAGTGTAATTGCCTTTACTGCCTTTGTAGGGATATACTGTTTTTTTAAACTAATTAGAATAGTAAATAGTAGAGTGTCTATAAGGCTAAAGCGTCTATATTAATTCTAGGAGCGTCCTTATTAATTCCCTATAAAAATAAAGACCCTAATATTAGAAAATTAGATTTAAGAGCTAATAAGGGCGTTATAATAAATTATAGAAATAATGCTTATAAAATATAGGATATAATATAGAAAAGACCTATATAGTCTAGAGATATTACTATACTAGAAAATAACTTTATAACTAATAATAATAATAATAAAGAAAGTCTAGAAATAAGTAATAATATAAATAAAGACCTTAATAGTAATAAAGATAATAGTAATACTAATAATAATATATCTAAAGATAATATAATAATAGAAATACCTAAGATTAATAAAGAAGATTATATAGACTATAAAGAAGGTAATCTATTTAATACTATAGAAGATTATCCTTCTATTAATATATTAGCTTCTTTAAATAGAGCTAAAGATAAAGCATCTTATATACTATCTTCTAATATATTAACTAAACCTTCTACTTTTAAATAATTTCTAGAAGATAATAATAAAGATAACTAAATAGAAGGTATAAATAAAGAAATTAAAGAATTAGAAAATAATAATACATAGACTATTATAAAAAATAATAATAATAATAATATTATTAAAAGAAGATAGGTATATAAGATAAAAGAAAAAATAGATAATAATAATAATAAAATAGAGAAAATATATAAGGCAAGATAGGTAGTACAAGGGTTTAATTAACACTTAGGTATTAATTATTTAGAAACCTTTAGTACTACTTATAGGCTAAAAAGCTATAGATATATAATGATATTAGCTATTGCTAATAACTAGTATATACAACAATATAATATAACTAATGTCTTTGTGTATACTAATATTAATAAAGATATATATACTATAGTTCCTACTAAATATATATATAAAAAAGAAGCTAATAAACTAGTTTTTAATAATAAAAATCCTTTATATAATAATAAAGAATATATATATAGATTAAATAAGGCCTTATATAGTTTAAAACAAAGTCCTAGATTATAGTATAAGTATTTAAAAGATATATTTATAAAAGAAGGCTTTAAAATATCCCCTTATAATAAAGCTATATTTATATATAATAAAAATAATAATAAAATAATACTAGTATATTATATAGATAATATATTAGTAGTTAGAAATAATAAAGAATTTATAAATAATCTATTTAATAATATACTACTTAAATATATAAAAATAAAGCCTATAAGAATACCTAGTATATTTCTAGGAAATAAAAAATATATAGATTATAAAAATAAAAGTATATATATACATTAAACAAAATATATAGATAAAATATTAAATAAATTTAAAAAAAGAGATTTATATCCTTATAATAGACCTATAGATAATAATATAAAATTATATAAGAATAAAGAACAAGTAACTAAGGAAGAAATATTAAAATATTAGCAAGAAATAGGTGCTTTAATATATTTAGTACTAAAAACAAGAATAGATATAACTCTTCCTGTTATAACTTGTTCTAGATATATAAGTAACCCTTCTAAAGAGTATTTTACTACCCTTAATAGAATATAGGGTTATTTAAATAAATATAATAATTTAGGAATATATTATAACTATAATAATATTAATAACTCTAATATAATAGGTTATACTAATTCTAACTAGGCAAGAGATCTTAATAACAAAAGATCTACCTCTAGTTATATATATACTTATAAATATTATAATCTTATTAGTTAGAATTCTATAAAATAAAAAACAGTAGCTTTAAGTACTTATAAAGCTAAATATATAGCTTTAATAGAAGCTATAAAAGAAGCTATATCTTTATATAGTAGCTACAACTATTTAAGGATAAATCTAGGGTTTAGTAATTTAAATAAACCTAGAATATTAATAGATAATAAAGTAGCTTAAAAGCTAGTAGAAAATCTAGAATTTTATAAAAAAGTTAAGTATAGAAATATAAAATATTACTTTACTAGAGATACTATAATAAATAAACAAGTATATCTATATTATATAAATACAAAAGTTAATATAGTAGATATTTTAACTAAACCTTTAGGAAAGGCTTTATTTAATAATATAATAAACACTATAAATATAATAGATAAATATATAATACCTAAATATAATAGGTAAATATATAATACCTAAATATAATAAACAAGAAGAAAATAAGAATATAAGAAATAAGTATATAAATAGTAATAATAATAATAATATATTATAAAAAAGAGTAATATATATATATATATAAATAAGTTACTATCTCTTGTTTTTTTCTATATATAAAGGTTTTAAAGAGATTAGTAAAGTATATATTTAAGTATATATACTTAATAATAAATAGCTATCTTAATCTTTTCCTATTAAGGTTTTTATAGATAAGCTATATATAATAAATTATATATACCTTAAGGGGGGGTATTAGATATTAAGGTTTAAAGACCTTATATATATATAAAAATAAGATAATAATATAATAAAGAAGTAAAATATATATTATAGTATTAATAATACTATATACACTGTATACACTAGATATAAGAATAACTACTTAGAAAATAGCTATATATACTATATAATAATAATATTTATATATAAAGAATAGGTCTTTTAAGTAAGACCTTCTCTTTCTCTAAGGAATTAAGAATATAGTTCTAGGTTATATAAGGTAAATAGATAAAATAATACCCTACTGTAGGTAAAGTAATACTCTGTATTCTAATAACCTACCTAATAACCTACTTAATAACCTAGAATACTAAAGAAATCCTTAGAATACCTAAGAGATAGGTATAAGTAATCCCCTTATATCCCTAGGTCTAGTTAGATAGTTAGATCTATAAGCTCTTCTACTATATCTATAATAATATACTACCTTTATATCTTATCTCCTATCTCCTATTTCTTATTTACCCCTTTTGCCTCTAAAAATCTTTAAATAAGTAGATAGCTTTAGTTAAAAATATTAAAGTATAAAAGTATTAGTTAAAGCTTACTTTAGTAATTTAAAAGCTTCTTTATAATCTATAGTCTATTAGTAAGTATAGTCTTTAGTAGTTAAGTAGTTAAAAGAATATATAACTTATCTATAGTTAGCTATAAACCTTTTATAGAAGTTATAGAATCCTAAGAAAGATTATACTTTTTTTACTATAGTAAGTACTTCTTAGTTTTTTACTATAGTAATCTTTTTAAGGTTAAGTTAAATACTATTAGTACTTAGTATAAATCCTAGGTATTTAGTAGTTATTACTTTAAATTTATACTTCTTAATATTAGCCTATAGGCTAACCTCTTAGAGTTAACTAAGTACTTTTTTAATATACTCTTAGTATTTAAGGAGCTCCTTAGAGAAAATTAAAATATTATTAAGGTATATAGTATAAAAATTATCTAGGTATTTTATAAGAATATTATTTATATAGTATTAGTAAATAACTAGTTTATTATAAAGTCTAAAAGGTAATATTTTATACTTATAGGCTTTATAATAAGTATAAAAAGTTATTAGGTCTTTAAAGTTAAAGTATACTTTAATTTTATAAAATACTTATTAAGTTTTTAGCTTAGTAAAAATCTTTACTTTACTAATTTAGTTTAAGGTTTTATTAATAAATAGTAAAAAGTATTAGTCTTTCTTAGTAATCCTATTTAGCTTTTAGAAATTAATATAGAATTATAAGCTTTTATTAGCTTTATATATAAATAGTATAAGAGAGGCCTAAGGAGTATTTCTTAGGGATATAAAACCTTTTTAAAGATTCTTTAGTAAGTATTCTTAGGTAGCCTATAGTTTTACTAGTAACTACTTATATAAGAAGTAGTAAATAAGCTTATCTTTTTTACTTTCTTTAAGTTTAATTTTATAGTTTTAAGAATAATAAAAAAGAAGTTACTTACTAGTAGTTTTACTTAAGATATCTTAGTAGGCTACTAGCTTAAAAAGTAACTTTAAATTAACTAAGTCTTTTATAACTTACTTATTTTAGTCTAATAAGTTTTATTTATTTTTTTAGCTTCTTTTTTTTATTAATTATTCTATTAAGCTTATAAAGAAAAAGAAAGCCTAATTTAATATTTTCTTTTTAAAGGTTTATATTAAAGGTAATAGTATTTATAAAGGTAAAGTAATTATATTTCTAAAGTATAACTAGTTATATTAACTGTTCTTTTTTTTATAAAGTTCTAGCTACTAGGGGTCTTAGTCTTAGAGTACTTATCTTATCTTATAAAGACCTTTAGTTATATCTTACTTATAGAAGTATTAAAGATTTAACTTAGGCTACTAAGGTAATTACTTAGCTTTTATCTTCTACTAGTATTATTAGTAATTAACTTTAAAGATAACTTACTATCCCTTAGTGTTAAGCTAGTACTAAATATTAATTTTATTAAAAGTATAAAGGTCTTTTATATTATATATAATAGTAAGTAGTAGTTATTCTTAAGGAGTATTAAAAGGCTAAAGAAGTTATTAGTTTTTTATATTAAGGTTTACTTTATAGTAAGTAAACTACTAATATCCTAAGATTATATTATAGTAGCCTATATTAAGCTATAATAAAGATATTTATATTAAGTAATATTAGTTAAAATATATATTAGCTATTTATATTACTTAAATATTATTTAGTTATTTACTATTAAATCCTATAGTAAAAATAGGCTTAGGTAGTAGGCTATAAAGGGTATTATAGAAATTTTTAAGTAAAGTAGTTACTTAAGGGTATATTAAAAAGTAACCTTTTACTTCTATATTAAGAAAGATATATAGTTAAATTCTATATTTATTAAAGGCTATTATAAGTTTAGTCTTAAGAGGCTTTCTCCTTATAAGGTCCTATAGATTTATTAATATAATAGATAATCTATAGTCTTTTTATATACTATACCTTAGTAAAAAGTTATATTTTACTAAAGTATTTAGTTTTCTACTAGCTAGTTAAAATTCTCTTTAATAGTCTTTTTAATACTAAGCTTATTTATAGTAGTCTTTTAGTAATAAAGGTAATTATAAATAATATAGTTAGTACTACTATAACTAAGATAAGTATTAAATTTTATTAAGTATTAGTAAAAGGCTATAAGTATTTAGTTATAATTAGGCTAATAAGTAGTAGTACTAGCCTTTAAAGTATTAGTAGTAGTAGGTATAAGAGTATTATACTAGCTAAGTCTTACTTCTTTAGTATAAGTAGTAGTAGTATAAGTTAATAAAGGTTCTATAATATAAGTAGTCTTTACTATATACTTAGTATACTATAAGTAATTTATACTAGTATTAATATACTACTAAATAATAGTATTCTAAAGGGTAACTAAGAGCTTATTATAAAAGTGTCTTTTTTATTAGCTAATAAGTAGCTTACTAACTTTAGTATACTTATAAATTTAGTATACTTAGCTTATATATTTTTAAAAGTAACTATAAGGTTATTAAGCTTTTACTTAGTATTATTAATAACTATAAGGCTAATATAAATAGCTTATAACTTTACTAAAATATTCTTATAGTAGTAACTATTAAGTTAGCTTTACTAGTTAAAAAGTAAATAAAGTTAATAATATATTCTTTAACTTAACTATAGGTATATTTAAAATAATAGTTATTACTTTAGTAAGTATAATTCTTAAGTTAGATAATAATTTAGAAACACTAGTACTTAAACTTTAGGTTTTTATTATCTTTTTTATCTTTAATCTTAGTAAAGATAAGGACTTTAAGGAGTTTAGTGTTCTTATACTAATAAGTATTATTACTAGCTATTAAAAAAGTAAAGAAGTTAGTATATAAGCCTTTAGCTTTTAAACTAATAACTTACTATTATAAGTCTTTAAAAACTATATAGTCTTAGGTCTTATTAGCTTATTATTACTTTAAGTATTTTATTTAATTATTTAAAGTAAAGTTAGTGTCTTTTATCTTCTAAAGTTTAGTCTTTAGTAAAGTAATTATAAAAATATACTTTTTATAGTTAGTAATAAGTTCCTTAGTCTTAGTAAATAAAACTTCTTAGTTATTAGTGTATACTATAGTAATAAAGCTAAGTTTAAGCTTTAGATGTTACTAGGTAAGTCTTATAGTAAGTTATTAGTGTACTTAGTTATAAATAAAGTATTAAAAAATATAATATAAATATAATATAAATATAATATATATATTTTTATTTTCTTTGTAGTATAATATGATATATGTATTTGTATTATATTTTGTTCTATATATAATATAATATAAACATAAATATATATATTATATTTATATATTATATAAAGTACAAAGAAGAAATACAAGATTAATTCTTTTTATATATATATATATAGTAGTCTAATAATATATAAGTAAAAATATATTAGTAGGTTTATATATATATCTATATATTAAAAAGATATTTTATTATTACTAATACTATTATTTCTTTATATATAGATATAGAAGTAGTTAAATTATTATTTACTCTTAGTTACTTAGTTACTAATACTAAGATTTCTAATATTATTGCTACAAAAACTATTTAGAATAATATTAGTAATATAGTATTCTTTTACTTCTTTAATATTATAATTTAAAACCTTATTTACACTACTTTCTTCCTAGTTATAATAATTATAACTAATACTATACTCTATAGTATTACTATATAGTTAGTTATTAATAGTTACTTCTATAGCTATTTATTATATAGTTAGTTATTATATAGTTAGTTATTATATAGTTAGTTATTATATAGTTACTTATTATATAGTTATTTATTATATAGTTAAGTATTAAAAGCTATTTATTATATAGTTAGGTATTAAAAGCTATTTATTATATACTTAGTTATAATATAGTTAGTTATTATATAGTTAGTTATTATATAGTTATTTATTATATAGTTAGGTATTAAAAGCTATTTATTATATACTTAGGTATTAAAAGCTATTTATTATATACTTAGTTATAATATAGTTAGTTATTATATAGTTAGTTATTATATAGTTAGTTATTATATAGTTAGTTATTATATAGTTAGTTATTATATAGTTAGTTATTATATAGTTAGTTATTATATAGTTAGTTATTATATAGTTAGTTCTTA